ACTACGTTCTCATAATGACTTGATTCATAACACTAAATATGGTGCTTCTGATACTATACAAGACAAAACAACTGAATAATTTAATCTCCTATATCTCTTTCATCTATATATATATATATATACCGTAACAGTATTTAGATATAACGTAATACTAAAATCAGCGATAACTGTAAAGACTAAACTGTAACCTCAAAAATTAAGTTTGTTTTCTACATAGAGTATGGTGGCATTTTCATTATGTATTTCACAGGGAAAGAGCACTATAATAGTATACATTCCACCCTGTGTATAGAAGTCATTTATTTTAAACTTACGTCAATAGTTGTCAGTAAAAGCCACATCAATTTATTAACAAGTGCCTATTGGTTAGTCTCCAGCCAGAAGAAAAGCTACTTAATTATCATGACTATGTAACAGTTACAAATCCTACAATAGCTTCCAAAAATAATGTCTTTTTTTATTTTTTACTATAGAGTAATATAATGAAACATGGATCTGACTATAGTGTTAATTGCAATTTAAAGTAAAGAAGTATGAGGAAGGAGGCTTTGCTGTATCAAAGCACAATTTTTGTCCCCCTCACTATTTTGTACAGAAATTATTTTTAAAAAATTACTTAATTACACATAAGCATTGTTCAATTTTTAATTATCACAAAAATCACACTCAATGCAACATCTCATTTGAAAATTATAGAATGTATTATTTAAAATACATCATCAGTGGGTAATTTCTCATGGTTACCATTAGGTCAACTTAAGAAAAAACAAACAAACTTAAAATCGATGAAAAAGATGGAAGTTAATTTGCTGAAACATCACTTTTTAAATTTTTATAGATATATAAATATTCATTGAAGAACTAGTACTTATTTCAGTGGAAGGCTTAACAGCTTGAATAGCAAAAAATTATTTTTCTATAAGTTTGTAAACTATAAATAAATAAATTAACCCAAGGTACTCTGGTATATCTGTCAAAATACATCGAGTAAGCATTAAGACTAAGTTTGATGATTCCACCAACAAACAAAACTCTAGTCAGTAATTGTATAGAAAAAAAAAGTTTGTTTTTATTATTGATATGCTAGTTAATGAATATTTACATCAAGAAATATGGCAAACTGTCTTTGAATTGATATGATAAGTTCACTGATCTGCAGATACTCTGTTGTTCAACCTTTTCTTCTTGAGATTGCAGTACACTAATATATATTTGTTTTAACAAGTGAAAATAAATGGCAAATACTTTGTTGTGTGATTTACAATGATAAAACAGTTTACTAAATAATAACTCTAGTAATAGTTACAGAATAATTACATCTAAAAATATGAAATGTTTAATAACTTCTTTGTATTTATCAAGCAGGAAGTAAAATTACATTTTAAATTATTTAGGATAAAAAGAAAAGAATATGAACTATGCCAAAGTCAAAAACTAAAACACCCTGATATATAATAAACCTTTATAAATGAATTTTTCAAATGAAGTAAGGTAATTAAGCACTAATAAATTTTGGGCTTATAATACTTTTTATAAAAGTAAGATCATGATTTATACACAATTATCAAGAAAAATTGCATAAAAAAGTAAAGACCTGATTTAGGAGAAGGTATTTCATGAGCTAATACTCAAAATATTTTTCTTATCAGTTCTTTAGTGTCACATGCATGAGCAAAATGAAGTGACAAGTTTGAAGACTTGATTCTTCAAAACTACACACTGTAGAACAAGGGCATTACCATAAGATAATGATTTCACCATGAATAAGAACTGCGGGAGATTACAGTATGGTACTGATCATATTTAATAAAAACCTTTCAATAATTTTGTTAAATATGATATGCAATTGAATTTTTTTCATGATGATAACATTGATAAGGTGCACTGAATAGGCTCTGTTAAACACACAACAGACAAAAATCAAATACATAGCTTAGAATGATGAGGTTGTTTAAAACCAGAGGCAACTAGTAAAACATGTTTGGGAAGAATAAAGGTTTCCTTAAGTAAAAACAATTGAACTTGACTTCTGCCATAAATTCTAAAATAGTTTTTCTTGTGTATGTCTCATAAGATAAGCTCAGTAGGGTCCACTTCCCTAATAACATCTAACACTAGAAAGAAAGTACATGTAACCGATAATATATAAATAATAACATACATAAGATAAGCTCAGTAGGGTCCACTTCCCTAATAACATCTAACACTAGAAAGAAAGTACATGTAACCGATAATATATAAATAATAACATACATAAGATAAGCTCAGTAGGGTCCACTTCCCTAATAACATCTAACACTAGAAAGAAAGTACATGTAACCGATAATATATAAATAATAACATACATAAGATAAGCTCAGTAGGGTCCACTTCCCTAATAACATCTAACACTAGAAAGAAAGTACATGTAACCAATAATATATAAATAATAACATACACACTTATTGGCCTGACTTTTTAATAATTATTCAAATTATCAAAGAATGATTGATCTAATATTCACAGGTACTACAATGTATTTATCAAAGTACCATTATCTAAAAACTCAGATAAGCTGTGATAGCTATATATGATCTGCAAGCTAAATGACAAAAAAAAAAAAGGGGGGGGTTAACTATTGGCCACAGATACAGAGTGTGGCAAATAAAACTATTTTATATGACTGCTAGTTTTAGACCACAACTGTGGTATTAAGGAGTGTATTGACACAAGTCATGAACAACTGCTGAATGGTAATCTATGGATCTTTATAAAAGTTAAGCTTATTTTAGCCTTAAAATTGCCCAATTTAGATGAAATTAGAGATACAATTAAAAATATGATACTTATTTTATTGAAATACATACACATAGTTTGATGGAGGTACAATGCAATTTAGTATATAACATCTTATAATGTGCCTAATCTTATTTTCAGTTTAATTTTTAGCACTTGAATAACTATCACAACTCAAACACCACTATATCCTGACTCCATTCAAGTTTGTTAGAAAATAGTAGTGGTCAGACCCAAAAACCATCCAGTTAAAAAGAAGCTATATATTTTTATAAATGTTGAGTTTGTGATCTACATCTCCTTAAATAGAACATCCATTTGTACTAGTATGTAGACTGGGAGAGCACTGAAGTTATATAAGGAGTAAGAACATAAATAATATGTGAAACACCTTAGGTTGTACAAAGGTTAAAACAATTTCTGACAATATACATACTGTATTGTCTAGCTATCCATTTTTTTTGTTATTTCCAGAAAATCTTGTAATCTGAATATATTGCATATCAATAAACAACTGTATTTTACAAAGGTATACTTTTGTATATTTAAAAATTCATAGTCTCATCTTCTGATTTTGTTTCACATCTTCTTGTACATGTTATGTGGTAAGCAAGCCAGGAAATAAAGAATCATACAGATGTATTGGGATATGTCTACAAACAAATAAGTCATTAATAACCTTTCCTGCATGCTGATTATTTCATGTAGGTTCATGCACAAAAGGATGAGACACTAATATGTAACTCTATGAACAAATACCAAATATTCACTTTGCTGCATTATTCTCCAAAAATACAATATAATTTACATGCATACAAGCCAAGAATTACATTTTGAATCTAAGCAAAATTTTGTTGAAGTAGAAAATGTTTAATTACTTAATACAATTCATTTGAAATTATCAAATAAATTTGTGTAAGTGGAAAAACTTAACTTCAGGTAAAAGAACAAAAACAATGTGGCATTTTTTAAAACTGTTTATACTACATATCAAGATACCCTTAACTATAACAGCCCATTGGAGTCAAAGGGATTAAAAAGTAACAAAAAAATCATAAACTTCAATTCAAGATCTTCTTTAACAACTACATAACTAAGAGATTACAAACAGGTAACAATGTGGAACACATGAGGTAAGTAGTATACTGTCATTTCAGAGGGTGATATTTACAGTGTGGGTTGAACTGCAGCTCTGATGTATAACAGTTCCTCAGTAATTGTATTAAAATTTTCACTAACTAAAAAAGAGAATAGTGAGGAATAGAGCAGCACAATAATTTATGCTGTGTTGTTGTTGGAATGGGTAAAAAGCCAAACTGTGTACCATAAATAATGATAATTCATTTATATAATATCTTTTCTAGAAGAAAAAAATTGAGGTTTAAAACATACATCCATTCAGTAATTTTATCAGCATACTTATTGTGCAAGTTGAAGTTTCAAATAAAAAATGTCTATACAGAAATCTGAACTCTAAGTGAGGTATTATTATTTAGTGCACCATTGTGATGTATAAAACACTAAATCATTAATCTTTATAGAGTTTACATAATGTGAATTAACAAATATTAAATTTATGTACAAGCAATACCAATATCATACAACTTGATCCCTTATGAGAGTGTCTGTTCATTAGCATTCATCATCCACAGACAGTTGGCTCGATTATCATACTTTTTGGTATGGTAACAGTGCACTTGGACTATTTTGTTTTAGGATTTTTCCAGAGAAGGGGAAGTACAGACTTTTGGCTTTGAATTTAAAAACACAAGTATTTTATCAGCTAAATGAATCGATTATTACCTTCCACAAAGCAGGATAGGCAAATAGCATCTTATGAGGTCATCAGAGATTTAATAACAAAAGAAAGAGGAACATTATTTAACATTTTACCTTATACAATTTTTCCTTCTTAATGGATATCCTCAACTACTATTCTTAATCCAAAACCAAATCTTTGTTTAATGCATAATATATGATATTATATGAAATATATGTATGTTATAATACAATTTATAAGTAATTTCAAATTATTGTTTTTGTTTTCCATACCATATCCGTGATGTGTGAAGTCATGAGGACGTTTCTCACAAAACACATTGCTAATTACACATTCTCTAAGTAATATATATGGCTAGACCATAAGTACATCATTTAACTAGGCAGCATCGCTATTGACGCTATATTTATGAAAATATACATATAAACGTTTCAAATTAACTTACCTCATCGCAAGATTACTTCCATCTATTACGATATGTCTCAGGTTTGAACTGTCATTTCGACCATCTCGGTGTATGGAGTCATTTCCGAGATTGGTGACATCATCAGATGGACATGTTCCTTCTGTTTCCCGAGATGTAGCACCTAGCCGGATGAGCTCGGCCAACAGTTCATTTTGACCAGCTTGTGCTCCTAATTTCTGTAGTGCAATCTGAACCTGGAGTTCTGTGTAACCCAACTTCAGTGCAAATTCCACCCGGCTGGCATAATTAGGGTGGGCAATCAACGACTGGAGTTCCTCGGAAGTTGTTACATATTCTGCATACTCTGCCTTCAGTGTATCAGATACTGTCCGGCTAACATCATCGTGTCCGTCCCGCGGACTGGTGTTTTCACTATTTTCGTAGTCAGAGTCGTAGCTGGAGTCCTCAGATTCCAATACGCGAGTTTTAGTACTCATTCCAGAACAACCAAGTTCAGAGTTTTTTCCAATATCCTTTGGCTCCTCCTGTTTATTTCTGCTCTTTCGCCGGACAATTTCTTGGACATTGTAGTCCAGAACCTGTATGGCCTTGTTGACACTGCTCTCAAGTCCACTGACAACCACCATATTGTCTTCTTGAAACACTACTTGACAACAAGATCTCATCTCAATCTGATCCTTTAATTGAAACAGTTCTTGATAAATATCTTCCGCATACTGGCATCTCTCCTCACAACGGTTGGGACTTTCAGCAATAGCTGACAGTATGTATTCCTATAGAGACATATACAAAAGTAATGTTAGGCCACAATATTATAAGAATAATTGTTTATCTATAGAACCATTTATTCTTACACAATGAACTTTAGTCATTTGATCCTCAGTGACTAATAAAAAATATTTTGAAGTATAAACTGCCTAAACTGATCGATGATTACCTACGCAAACACACTCATTAAAAGCCCAATACTTGTCAATAAAGAACATATTTTGCTGATGAGTAATTTGTGAAAAATACATTTGATTTAGACTCTCTCTTTTATGTTGTAGATATTTAGCTGTTTGATTTGTGCTGTGACATTTTCTGAGTTTAAAACACTTAAATGTAAATCATTTTAATAACGACCACACTTGAAAGATCCTTGTAAATAAACTAGTCTCCTTCTTTGATACAAAAAAAGTTGTTACTGATGTATTTCTTTAACTTGTCAAGTCACTGTTTTGTTTACAATGAATTATATAAGCAAGTTAAAAAATGACTTAAAACACTCTATAGTTTGTTATATTTTAATATAACAACACCATGTCGTCATTTAAGTACCAGTCAACGCTAACAACATCAGTCCTCCATGCTCGTTTTGTAGTTGTTTTTATAAGAATTGTTTTCTGAAGAGGAAAGAAAAATACAATTTTTTTCGGTTATTAAAAAAATGACACTTTGAAACTTTTTTTAATGTTAATGAAGTAAAATTAATTACCGGCGAGAGAATTTCACATTTTTAAGGGGAAAACAAAACTGAATTAATAAATCGATTTTTTCGAAGTTACTTTTATAGGCCGATGACTACAAAAGGAAAGTTTCAGACAAGAAACATTTTCAGAGAAATATGCTACAATTATATCAATTTCATTACACTTTGGTGAATAAAAAAGATTATTCAGTTCTGGAAAAATACTAATAGGAACTTCCCCTATCTGACAGCGGGATAAAGCGTATCTAAGCATTACTTTCTGTATAAAGTCAGAACTCTTTTGTTTAACTTCACTTGGCTAATTATGTTATACCAACACGTTGTATAACATTTGAAATGAATTCTATGGAGAATCGAAAAACTCTAATTTGTTAGTGTAATAAAAAAAAATGTTTTCATTTTCGTCTACTAAAATATATTTAACAATTGAAGCGCCACCTACTGTGCTCCACCCTCAAGAGCCTACCTGTTGTGAATCGCTCTTCTGGTCAGTAATGGTCACTGATCGAGGTTGTACGGAAACTTTTTGATCTTCACCTTGAGAAGTCATGGCGAAATATGATATTATTTGGACCTGTACATGCCCTGTTGGTTAAAATGTCTAGTACATAACTTCACAGCGCACAATCCCACGTTTTCTAATAATCCATCAACTTACACACACAACAGCCCTCTCGCGGCTCGAGCACCTGAGCAACTGCTGCCAAACTCGAACATCCTGGAGTACAGGTTCACGGTGCCAGGCTGCGGTGGTCCAACCGGGACAAGGGCAGGTTGGTCGGCCCGAGGGCATCCTGTATTCACGGCCTGACAACGGGACGCTTGTTTACCTGCCTCTACAACTAGAGTGTATTGTCGACGTACATAGAAACGTCATTCGTTTCGTTGATATTCCATAACCTGATACTCATACATTTATTGCTAAAAGATTTTCACCTATTGCAGTGGTGTAGGAAGGAGTTGCAAAGTAGGGGTGTTTAGTTAGACATGCATATTTTACAATGAGAGACTGAAATTATAAAGGCAGCCCCCCCCCCCCAAGAAAATTAATACAATAATATAATTTACAGTGCTATGTACGTCAAATATGTAAAGGTGGGGGTGCTATAGCATCCCCAGTTCCTAGCTTCTGCGTTGTAACACAATCATCTTCGTAAATTCGTGATTACAATTGCGTTCAATTCTTACCTCTTATTACAGTCGATCTATAACAGCGATTAACAGTGTTTATCAAAAAGACTATACAAATTATTAACTATTTTACACTTCACTGTGTAGTTAGAGTTGGAGATAATTTAATAAACCGCTTGAGAATCTTTTAGTTAAAGCCACACAATCTGCATCTTAAAATCATAAAACTACAGGACGTCATCTTGTCAAAACTATAGTTACATCAAAATCGTTCTAATCTTAATGCTTCACACTGTCACATGACTCTCTAATTTTTTCTTCTTTTTTTTTCAGAAAAAGTTGATTCTCAAAGAATAAAAATTATGGCTTGAACAAACTAAATCGTATAACTGGTTCTAACTGAATTCTTGTTCATCTATCGAAAATCTTTAACCAGATAACGTATATGAAACGAACTATGCAATGAATGGTAAGCAAATATATAATTATTTTGCAAAAAAAATATTGTAATGTTCATCTCCTGCCAGTATAACTGATATTTAGAACACTGTACGGGATTCTCAAAGCCCTAGACGCCTAGAGAGAAAAGGAGGACTGCAGGGTACAAAGAATGATGTATCGGCTAACAGGAATAACAAGATGTAAGAGGTACAAAGAATGATGTATCGGCTAACAGGAAGAACAAAGTGTGTGAGATACAAAAAATGATGTACGGACTAACAGGAAGAACAAAGTGTATGAGATACAGAGAATGATGTACGGACTAACAGGAAGAACAGGGTGTATGAGATACAAAGAATGATGTACGGGCTAACAGGAAGAACAAGGTGTAAGAGGTACAAAGAATGACGTATTGGCTAACAGGAATAACAAGATGTAAGAGATACACAGAATGATGTACTGGCTAACAGGAATAACAAGGTGTATGAGATACAAAGAATGATGTATTAGCTAACAGGAAGAACAATGTGTATGAGATACAATGAATGATGTACAGGCTAACAGGAAGAACAAGGTGTAAGAGGTACAACGAGAACAAAAGCTTTATAAACGTTTGTGTTATAAAGAAGTGTCGGTGTGACGTCAAACAAACGGTAAAATTGTGTGTACTATAACACACACACACCTAAATGTGTATGATTTAAGAAGGAGAACAAGGTGTGCGTGTGTTGTTTATGGGGAAAAATGTTATATGTGGATGATACGTGTGGTGAAAGAACAGCACTGTATGAGTTAAGATGGACAACAAGGATTGTACGTGTGGTTTACAAAAGACAGGGAACAAAGAGAGTATGTGTAGTGTAAAAGATAGGAGATATTGGTGGCTTAAGAAGTAGAACAGGGAGTATATATATATGTGCTTTGAAACAAAAAACGAGGACTGTATGTCTAGTTTAAGAAATAGGAGGTGTGTGTGGTTTAAGACGGAGAATAAAGAGAGTATTTGTAGTGTAATAGATAGAAGATATGTGTGGTTGAAGATGAAGCACAATATATGTGTGTATATAAAGCATAAAAGAAAAGAGATATATGTGTTTGTAAGATAAGAACAAAGTCTATATGAGTATATATGAGTATCTGAAATTATAATAAAGCAATGAGTTATTTAATAAGAAAACGTGTGTCATGTTAGGATAACGGATATGTTTTGCATGCAAGATGGAGAACTAGGCATGTACAGTGCAATAACAAACACTTAACTGTATGACAAGAACAGAGTACTGATCTGTTGACGGAGTAAACACACATCCAAATTATTTCGAATCAAGGTACAGAAGGACGTAAAAGTTAGTAAGTAAAAAAGTGAGAGAAACAGTATCATTGTTTTTATTGATTTTGTAAATATGAAATCTAGTACTCACGGTTCTGTAGATAGACGTATAAGATGTCATTTTTGTTCCTAGCGCTTTCGAAAAATGTTTGTTTGTTTTAGAGCAAAGCCTTATTGGGCTATCTGTTATGTCCATCGCGAGGAACCGAATCCCCAAATTTAGCGTTGTAAGTCCATAAGCTTACTGCTGTCCCACCGGGGGACTTCGAGGGGTGAACATTTCATCACCAAGAGCTAACCAGTTATACGGTTATAGGGGTTCGCATTTTTGTTTCTCATTGACTTTTTGAACCTAGTGTTTTCCTACCATCACGAGTTTCTTCGTTTCAGATATTTACGTCAAGCTATATACGAACTATACGTTTGAACTGATAAACTAGATCGAGGGAAGGCAGTCAACAGCTCTCACAGGCAAATCTTGGACTATCCTAATCGAATAGTGAGATTTGACCATCACTCTTATAACGCATCCAAGCACAGCCCGAAAGTGCGGAGCGCGATTTTGAGGTAACGGGACGCGAAATATCGACCCTCGGATTCACAGTGCGACACGCTAGCTCCAAGGCCATGCCCGAACCCATACAAGTTCATATATCATATCAGTTAAAATTAAATGTTAATATTCGCATTTCTGTATGAACAAATATAAGGATATATTTTGCTAGAAAGTTTTTACAGTAAGAAAAAAAGAGCTATTTATACTATGAGCATGTTCAAATGAAAATGAAACAGTATTTGTCTGATACATACAAAACAATGAAATTATGCAAAATATTAAAAGCCAGAGTATGAAGCGCCGCTATGTGCTACTCGTTTACACTTGCATTGCCGCATCCGCTGCAACATATACAAAACAAGCAAAAATGATCGTACTACAGATTCATAAGACAAAGGTAATGTTTTAGCTACGTTTCCTATTATCCTCCCCATACACAATTTTTTTATTTTATATTGTATTAAAATTAGATGACCAACAAATGTTTTACTAGCTAAACTGATTACTTTTAACATGTTATATCTTATGTATTTTTTTTGTAGAACTCTAAATAATAATCTAGATCCCTAAACATTATATCCATCACTTTCCTTCGGAGAGATCTAATAACACCATTTTAAAACACCAGGTGATTTTCTAATATGGAAACTTAATTACTATTAAAAATGTATAATATACACTATTAAATTTATAGATATATATTAGTTGTATTCAATGAATACGATACAGAATGTCATTTTTTTTTTTACATTTAACTGAAATTTAATGTCAAATATACAGATCTGGAAATAAACCTAGTTTCCATTTTTGCTTGAGGAAAAGCGTTATATATATATAATTCTAT